ATGTATTTATATCTCCTAAGGATAACCGTAACCTTTTCGTACATACTAATTAAGGTAAACCCAAGTAAAATATCTATATACCTATCTTTCCTTGAAAGCACGTAGTTAATTTTAGATTAAGTACGACTTCGCCAATGTTTTGTTTAACTTAATATCACTGCGGCTGAGAAGAATTCGTGAAAGATCACTAGCTTTATTAAGAGAAGAGATAAGTTGTTATTTCTAGTTAAACTCACTCATTCTCAAATATGGATTTTTGCATTATGCTTAAATGCACTAAGTGAGATTCTAGAAAACTGATATATTACCTGATTGGATACTTTTAACGGCGGTGCATGTATGTTTACAGGATCTGATTTAAAAAATTGTGCTGCGTCTTCCCATGCTGCTGGTTTCGTAGAGTATTTTAACTGCAACAACTCCTCATGATGCTTTTTATCCCTCAAACATAGCCGGAAGTTCTCACCACTTTCTCCACCTGCTCTTTCGTCTCCCAGTCGTATGGATCTGATGGTTTTGTACCAAGCCTTTTCATAAGTGCTACTAACCCATCATAAAACATACTAAATTATGGGAGATTATTTGTGCTGCATAAAATGCTTGTTCATTTGGGGATCACATGAGATTGATATCACGTAAATAATGTTTACCTGTAATCTGGCCGCTGATAACAGTCCAAAGTTCTTAAGTATGGGACAATGTCACGCAGTTCAGCTGAAAGACGAGCTTTGTCAAACTCACATAAAATGCGCATCTTATCGATATGAAGGCTAACGTTGTACGAAACCTCTTTAAGAACAAAAGAAAAGTTCTCCATAGAAAGCAAAATGTTAACAGGATTTCAACTTTGAGATGATGGTTACTGCTCGGTACCTCCCTTTGCTATTCCATACAATGGAGTAAAGGCCGAGGAACAGATAATTCAAGAAAACAGATAATTCAAGAAAATCGCAATCGCCAATCAGGCAGGCACTGATTCCGCCTTTTACGTTGGCGAATATCTCAAAATGCTCATTTTATACGGTAAATGATTGAGGAATGATTTCCCTTATTGTGCAAAGAAACATACGCAAACTTTGAGACACTGTATACCTAATTTGCTACGATGTCTGCGGGGAGAGCTAGCTTGGAGAAAGCAAGAGGCTGTTACGAATACGACCCTGGTTCGTCTATGAAAGGTAGTTTTTTTTAAAGCACTTTGAGACCATAATGGAGAAACCACCTGACTTTACGGTGACATTCCGCGCACAGGAGGAAAACTTTAGAGAGCG